TGTCCCTAAGTGCCACATCCACACATTTCTTAAATACCGCTGGGGAAGGGGTCTTCCTCACCTCCCCAGGCAGCCTGCTCCAATGCCTAACCAGCCTTTCCATGAAGAAGTTCATTCCAATGTCCATCTAAATCTGGCGCAACATTTCATTGCCACCTGTCACCTGACAAAAGTGACTGACATCCTCACTGCCGCCTCCTTTCAGGTAGGTGTAGAAAGCAGCGAGGTCTGCCTTCAGCCTTTTCCAGACCAAACAACTCCACTTCCCTCGGCTGTTCCTCTTATGTTTTATTTTCTAGCCCCATCCCCACCCTTGTTGCTGTTCTCTTAATGTGGTCCAGCAGCTCAGGATCTATCCTGTAGAGAGGGGCCCAAAACTAAACGGTATCTGGGCTGCATTGTATTGCGTAAAATCACGTTTATTTTTCACAGCACCTTTCTCAAAATAGTTTCCTGGTCTTTTATTTTGAATTATTGATTAAGTGTATTCATAAATGCATAGATATTTTTATTTTTTAAATATAATTAGGCTGCCCCCAGTGTTTTCTTTATGTCCAGTGGAATGCTACAAAATTTTGGTGTATTGTTTTTAAAATACTATTTTATGTTTGTAGGTAAAGCTGCTTTTTATGAGCACTTTGTACGTAGAAAACCACACCACGTTCTTTGCTGTTTCAATATTCTCCTCAGTTGTTATACTGTCTGTCCCTTAATTAGTTCGTTTGAAACTCCATTAAGCCCTGCTTCTGCAGTTATGCCTTAATTTCCTTAGTTATGCCTTAATTTACTTTGATTGCTACCTTGTCTATTCTAAGTCACCTGGAAGCACTTATATTTTCTTATGGTATGAAGCTATCTATTATTCTGCAAAATAAAGTGAGTGCTGTAGTTTTATCAATTATACCAAACTTGTTAGACAAGTGTTTCCATTTTAATTTCAGTTGTTACTAGAGCTCATTTACGTGTTGGATTGGCTTCCCCTCCACCACATTTGCAATGCTTTTAGTAGCACAGTTACTCTCTCTAAATTAAATATTGTGATCTCTCTTTTTTCTGTCTCTCAAAAAATAGTTTATTTCAACATATTTGAATTGGTGTACATTTGAATTGACATGTTATATGCATATTGTCCTCTGCTTTGGAAGGAAATGCAGAAGCTGTTGTTTCTGCTTATTCAGGCAATTTAGGAGGTAGAGATGACCATAATTTCCATTATTTGCTATGTCTGGTATCTTAGAAGAAGGCTAAGGAGAAGTTTCCTTCAATTTTTATGAACGATAGGAATGCTTATTTTACTAGTGACTGAATCCATTGTCTGCAGAATTTGTTCAGAGTTTACGAGCTGAGGAACTCTTGAAGTTGCAGAGCAGGAGCAGATGACTTGGCATATGGTGTATTATCCTCAACAAGAAACTAGAAATAAGGATAGGTAACTGGGCTTTGAGTTTTCTGTATCTAATATGCTGTATGTTGGAAAGGCATTGCAAGATCTCAAGTTGTACTTAAAAAAAAAAAAAGAGAGGATTTGTTTTACTAAACAAATTAGTGCTGAAACATCAGTAATTTTACTGTTCTGTAGATTAACCTTGATAGTGCTTCATGGTATTTATTGTGGTTTGAATTGAATTAATGCTTGTATAAATATAATTTTTTGTAGTCCAAAAAAGATGTTTAAAAGGAGGATACCAGAAAAAGAATTATATACAAATAACCATGGTGGAGGTGAAGATTTGTAAAACCAGTAGTGTAAGGTGTATCATGAGACTGCATCATCTAATCTGTCCCATATTCAAAGTCAGACTCCTCTGAAAATGCTGGCATACAAACTGTCAAGGATTTCTTTCTTTTTTTCTTTACTGCTGGTTTAAATCCATCTTTTGAAATCCCTATACTGGGATGTAATTTTACCCTCTGTATTTGTCCTGCCTCTGTATGTGCATGTTAAAAGAAATGTATTTTCTCTGTGCATGAGCACAACTTGCATTAGTGATGATGGAGTCTTTATGTGCATGTTGAAAGGCATTGATACCTAGTGGTAGAGTGTTTCTAATACTGCTGAAGTCAGGACTGAAGTATTCTGTTTGTTTTTTGCTCTGTGAATCAACACCATTGCTATAGCTGTAGGAATTCTGCAAAAGCTGTCAAACGTATGCTTTTGAACAAAATTTTAGCAGTTTCATTATATAATTATGATGTGATTGGGCATTTTCACTAGCTCAGCGGATAGAAGTTAGGTCCAGGACATTAGATAATGTTATGTGCAGGCTCTGAAATCAAACCCATTATCAAAGTTTAATAGGCAATACCAATTTACAATTTTGGTTTTTCTGTTTGAGACAGAAAAAAACCTGCAAGTTGTGCATACAATGTATTGATTTTTGAAAAACATGAGAAGACCTGTGGATTGCTGTGCTGAGCTGTATGTGTGTAGGAAGTGCAGTTTAGATGCTTGTGTAGAAGAACTCCCTCACCTTGTACTTGGGCTTCATGGCCCTTCATCTGGTGAAACCGAATGTGGGTTATGCATACTGTTCCAACTGGTGGAAGCATTGGATACCATGAACGATGACTGTATGGTTTCTTAGATCTGTGGGTTGCTTACTACTTTTCAAATAATTCATACTTCTGGATATAAAGTTTTGTTTACTTTACCCAAAATTGGCATTGCATTTGTAAGAAGTAAAAAGGAAAAACCAAAAGAAGTAAAAATGAAGAGAATACAAAATTTTCATGTTGTTACTTTTAAGTCTTAGTTATGTACAAGACCAAGAAGAAATCATCTTTAGATTTCTGTTTTAAGAGTCACTTGATGCATTTTAATGAGTGTTGGTATGTAATGTTCCCAGCATGCTTTTTTCCTTATTAAGCAGTTGTGTATATGGCAGCTTAAAGATGCTTGCCACTACTGAAAACTACATTTCAAAGCAAAATAAAACTGATGGGTGACCACAGTGATAATGGGGACTGACAGGATTTGGAAAATCACCTTGCAGTATTGTTCATGTGAACTCTTGTAACGGCAGTACTAGTGACACAGGTACAGCACAGAGTTTTAGTGTCTACCATCAGTGCGTATTGAGAATGTACCAATTTACAGACGACCTTTTGCATGGTTAGTGGTAGCATAAGTGCCAGCAAGCTCTCTCTTTATAACAAAACCACATTTAACTCTTTCATCCTGCAGGGCATTGGTGATCAAAATCAGCTGTGGTTCAACTGAACAGAAGGGATTTGCTCCTTTACTGTTCAGAGATGCACAGTGCCACAAGTGTTTTGAGGGGGAGAGATGTCACTTGCAGTAGAGAGGTTACATGGCAAATGGAAGAGATGATTTGCTAGCTGTAGATACTGTGTACTGAACCACTTTGACTCTTTAACGCAACTTGGTGACTGAGAAGTACTGATTTATTGAGTATTTTACATATCAACAGATACTCTTTTTTGGAAGGCAGTTTTTTGTTTTTCTTAAAGGATTTTCTGTAATAACCTCATGGTTTCAGCTGTTCCATTTATTTAATTAAGAGCGTACCGCTGTTTAGCCTTAAGTAAAGCTAGATAACCCTGTCATTTTACCTTCTTGAGTGCAGCTTCACATTACATGATTATCAGCCAGAGACAGTTAACTTCAGAAATGGAACTCTGCTTTTCTCTGCCTTGGTCAGCATGCAGAAATATGATGCATAACTATAATGCTGTAAGATATGCTGTAGAATACAAAATGTGTGTTTGTATGTGGAGACCATTTGCGTGGTCATTAGACATCCATATCCTGTTTTTTGGCTCACTTTTTGCCATGCTTTTTCTTCTCACCGGTTCTGTTTGCACTTGGATTCAGAACTAACATTGTAGTCTTACTGTTATGAAACCTTATCTGAGGTTTTTCCACAGCTGCTAAATATCAGAAGATGCATCTTCCAACATGTCTTCCTGAGTGATATTTTCAACTGCAGTAGCTGTGGATTTCATTAAGTTGTGTGTAATATGTTACAATGTGAGTGCCCACAGACCAGACATAGCGAGAGCTTAAACTGGGCACTGCACCACCCATCTTTTCTGTGCACCAACAGATCTTCCTCCTGTATTCACACCAAACATCAGCAGACACTCTTATTTCAAGCCTGGTTTATCAGCAAGATTGTACAGCATTGCTTCTAGATGATAAATATAGATGCTTTTTTAATTATTATGCCCTACTGTTAATATACATGAAGGATTGCTGGTAAAGCATGATACAGTGAGTGTGGTGACTTTCTGACATTTGAATTTCAGCCAGCTTCAAATACCACGTAATGGGAAGGAGTATTTATTAGCTCCTGGTCTTTCACCCCTTTGAATATCAAAGGTCTATAGAGAGCAGTAATGATACTATTGCTTACTCTAAGCGTTTACAGAAAGATTTCATAATGATTGTATCAGCTTAGCTAAGTATAAGAGTTACTGTTAGACAGGGTAGATGATACTGCAGAGCCATGAAATAAACGTATTCCCCGGATTTTATTTTAATTAAATGTCCTAATGGAAAAAATTCCTGATGTTCTTTTCTTTTCCTCCACCCCGTTGTGTTTTACTCATTCTGTGTTTACTGTAGCTGTGTTGAAATACTAACAGAGTTAATGATTGCCACATCTTGACTCCCCTTCTTGTGTGTTTCTCTGAGCTGATTTTTGTGGATGCTGAGAGATCACGTGAAAACTTACCCTAAACATTTTTCCTCTGTTATTGTTGATAACATCTGGGACTTGGGGAGAACTTATTTGAAGAGCTATTGTATTCTATCAGAACTAATTGGATTTGTGGTTGGATTGAAAAATAGATTGACAGTACTTCTGTTTAAGTCTTATGCAGAATAAAATGAAAACATTATCTTTTCAGCAGATTGTTTCCAACACTCTAGAAACATGTCATGACAGAAATTTACCTTAGCACGTACTAATATAATCACTTTTAACAATGTTGTTGTAAAACCCATGTCTTTGGTAACTCTGCTCTCTCTGTTGCAGGTGCTGCTGTCAGGATTGATTGGTGTTGTTTCATGGAAGAGGCCCCTTTCACTTGTGGTGAGTGATGGTTTGACTGCAGTCAGTTGTGTTATACAGACTTGTGTAACTCCTAAAAGTTTTGTCTTTATATGCGCCTGTGCCTATCAAGATTTGGTTTTGATATCTTGCTACTTTGAAATGTTACAAATGGGCTTTAAGTAAGGGCTTCAGTGGCCTACTGTGGACCTTGTGGCATCCCATTGTACTTTTGGTTGATGATGAGTACCAGACTGGTAAACTGGATTGAATTCCTGAGTAGTACTGCAGTCTGTGCATTTGCTAGTGTAATGTAACATTATGTATGCTTCCAAACTACTATAAATGAAGGAAAGAAGGTTTTAAAATAGTTTTGTTTTTGGAAATGTTTTCCCACTTATTAAATAATATTTGTTAATTATGATCTTTATTTTATTCTGTAAAAAGAATGCATAGTTTCAATTATTCTTATGTACCACATTGACTTTGGATGAAGATGCATCTAAAAAGTATGGAATGATACTAATTTTGCAATATAATTTAGGAAATAATTGAGTAAGAACTCAGTATTGTTAGGTTTCAGAAATATTTGGTAGTCTTTCCTTATCTAAAGCAGGCAGCAATCTGAGCAAAGTAATTAATTGTTTCTATTTGTCAGTTAAATTTCTCCTCAAATACAGATTCCCTCTAAGTGGTATGTTCCTTAAGGGGATAGGAAGATTAATTTGGGAAAACTATTTTATTTGCTAAGAATGAATAAAACAAGGTGTTTGGCACATGTGATTTTAGAATGCAATGCAGTGGTAAAAATCCAGAGTGCGTCAGCGATAGCTGTACTGAATCACAGTACTGAATACTGTGGTGTGTTGTGTTTTTCTAGTATACGTGTGTTACAGAAATTGGAACACTTGGAAGAAATAAAATATGGTAAAGTCTTGGTTAATTTTTGATGAGCAGTGTATGTTCTGATAAAAATTAACTAATATTGTTATTAGTAGACCTATAATTGATTGCCACTTGAAGTAATTCACGTTTGTAAAGTTTTACAGTGAAATATCAGTTAAAATGAACTGAATAATTTAATGTTAAATGTTAACTCATAAGTTAATGAATTTAACTCACGAAGAGACATTTACTGTTTGATTTGCTGCTCACTCCTACTTTTAGAAATATATAAATATAAAATACTATTTCAACTGGAATTGTATTTTCTTATTGTATGTGTACATAAGATTTGTCTGTAGATGACTCTTGATCCCACTATTAAGGGTTAATGCTTCTTAAAATGTATTTTAATGTCTTTTACCACATTAATTTTCCTGTGTTCACAGACTTTCTTCGCAAGTATCATGTTAACAGACATTTCTATATGTAAGCATTATTGTAGTAGGAATGCCATTGCATTACTCTGATAACCTGAGTGGTGGTTGTATGTGATTGAAGTCTTCATTTTAATGCTTTAACACATAATTCATGCAGAAATAAACTTAGAAGAACTTGAAGTATGCATTTATAAATTGAAAAACTCTCAGTGTGATTGAAGTGTAATTTAGGATTGCAAAATAGATTTCCATTCCACGCCAACAAAAATTACAGGACTTTCGTTTTTCACTTTTTGTATTTTCTGCTTTGCACACTGATTCATTATTGCTTGCCTGCCTTTGACTATAGTACGGTTTAAGACTGTATTTAGAAGAGAATAAGAGTCTTGCAATATTTCAGCAAATGTTTTTCAGTTCCTAGCTGTCACTTTCTCTCAGACAAGTATGGAGACTTATGGTTTTAACTTAATTCTAATAACCTATTACCTATACATTATGCTGCTTTTCATTGTATCTTTCTAGATAAATACTTCTTGAAATGGATTGTTGCTGAACATAAACTTCATTCTTTTCTGTATTATTCTTCTTTTTCAAAATATATTTCTTGTGATAGCATGATTAGTGTTCCCATCAATCTACCTTAATATCTCAATATGTATATATATTTATGAAAAAGTGTTAATATTTCTGAATAAAATAGTGCCATAATATCTACTTGGAAAAATCTTACAAAGATTGATGTAATAGACATTAAAGTACTTGACTTATATTTTTCTTTTACTCATACTTAGTCTTGGAGAGACTCTGGTATTCATTATGTGTAAACAAATACAGGTATCTAGTACTGCTTCTATGCCACTGTTACAAGTGTCTCTCGTTTAGACAGTGTTAGAATTTGGCTTGATAATTTAAATAGAAGATCCATTGAGTCACAGACATTTTGATGAATATGCAGTTCTAAAGAAAGGTAGTGATCATGCCGGAGATGAGAGTGTGAAATCTTAAATGGCTGAAAGAAGTGAATTATTGCTTAGTAGATACATTGAAAACTGGACTATGGTTAGAATTAATAGATATTCATGAAACATGCTTCCATTTTCAAAAATATATTAATGTATTTTAAAAAATAATAGTGAAATTAGAAGCACTTAGTCTGTAGTCAGTAGTGTTCTGCATGCGTCTTTACGTGGAACTTGACTGACTTGCCTAAGATGACATGGCAGAGAATTCTTTTTAACCAGTTGTCTGTATGGCAAGAAAAGGATATTCTAAATTGCTGGTTGTCCTTTGTCTGAAAGACAATTTTCAGCTACATCATATATTCTGTGAGATTCGTGTAGTTCACTCAGTAATGAAAATTAATTTATACTTCATATGCTGATGCTAACAGAGCTTCAATTAATGTATTAGGACAAAGCAATACTAGATTCAAATCTATGTTATTAAAATAGTGAGATGGTAGTGTTAATAAGGGTTCATGTGGTAAATATTGCCTTTGACAAAATGTGCATATGTCATGTAGCAGCGTTTCACATGTCCTTCTGCATTTTTTCCCATAAGAATTTGTCACGGTATCCAGATCAGTGAGTTAACCTCTTTGACAAGCAATGTGCCTTAAAAATTGTCTAAGTTTTACCACAACCTATTAATATTGTTTTCTTTTGGTAGACTACTAGGATTTTGTCTGAGCCTACCGTTACTGTATAACAGTTGTTATGCTGTGTTCTCAAATACAAAACGTATTTTGTACACTACAGTGAGTGTCAATTACCATTAAAAGAGGAAAAAGTCATATCTAATAGGAAATAAACTGTTTCAGATAACAACGTTGAACTTGTGAGTCTGATTAGTTTGAGTTACTTCAATTGTTACCCTTCTGTTAGAGGAGTACTTGACATAGATTCAGATTTTAAAAACTTTTTGGAGATTATTTTCTCTTGGAGCTTAATGGCTGCCAAGTGCTTGCGATTACGATAACAGGAGTCGCCTCTTGCTTTTAAAATAATTGAATTTCTTTGCACCAAATTTCTTAGCATTCAAATCTCTTAAAAGATTTGACCAAACAAAAATTCTTCAAATTTCTACCAATATTTTTAACTCTTCTGTTTCTCCATTGCTAGGTGCACACTTTGTATGTTGGCTCTGATAAGTGATGGTAGTGGTTTAGATTTTGTCCTCTGGTGTAACATTTCCATTCCCGTACCATATTCCAGTAGGCTGATGCATGAACAAAAGTTCACCTGCAGAACAGTTGAAGAAACTGAACTGAAGTTAGTTTCTTATGCTGCAACTAAAGAAAGTGAATGTGAATTAACTTGTTATTTTTTGAGTAGTTTTTCTCATCAGCTAGTATCATGTGTGTGAAGAGAGGTATCAGGGAAATGTTTAGATTAGAATTTGGTGGAGTATAAACAATGAATGAAAGATTTTTGTGGTAAAAAAATGGTTATTTATAAAAAGGAAGGAAAGTAAGTCCAGACTGGGGAGAATTCCTATTTATAAATTATAGCTGAATAAAAAAAAACCTGCCATCTAGTGAAGTTATTGCTTCCAAAACTCATTTGGTATGCCAATCTGAATTACACTGCAACATTCTCTATATGCTGAGCTATATTTATGTATCAGGACTCCAAGAGAAGTCATTCAGTTTTCTAGAGTTTGTCACCGATTCTTCTTTAATTGTTTAATTACTGATTATTTCCTTTAACATCACTAAAGAATTTTTTTAGAAATTAAATACTTCTCTTACAGGTCAAGTTTTCGCCACTACCTTCCGCTTCTCTTCCCATAGCATCGTATGTTGTTTTACTTGGAGTTAATATTTTGAGATCTAGATTAATTACTACTGCTGTGATTTGCTTATGAACATTCATATGTGTTGGCATTTTATTTTGTTTTTGTCATTTCAATGTTAGATTTCAAAGTTAGTTGCAGAGCTAGCTTTCAAGGCTTGTTTTCGTATGGCTGAACATATATACGAATTGCTGGAGTAGTAAATCTTTCTCTGACCTGGTTGACTGTTGTATTTCAGTAAATTACCCATAAAAACAGAGAAATGGATACTTCAGTATTCAAAGTAATATGAAATAATAAAGACTGCTCTTTTGAGCATTGTTAGAATTTTAAAACACCCTAAGAAAGCTTTTCCTGAAGAGCAGACAAAGCCTGCCGGGACTGATGCTTAACTCTTCTGGACAAGCACGTCTCTGTTACAGCAGAGACTTCAGCAGCAGCCCCTTCTGCCATGTCAGCAGTTAATGCTAGCACAATACCTTGGCAGTAGGGAACTGTCACAGTTCCAGAGTCATTGCTGCTACTTAAGTGCAGGGTATGGTATGGGTGTTACATTTGCCTCTCTTCAGTCCATCAGTAATTCCCCTGTTCTCACACATTTTCTAAATATATCTGCTAATGGTTCTTCCATCTCATTTGCTCTTTCTTTTAGAAATGTAGGCTGCAGCCCATCTGGTCCTGGACTTTTTGGCAGCTTTTGCACATTTCTAATTTCTTCAATTCTTTCTTGGCACGAGCCTTATTTCCTTCTCCTTGGGAAATTAATCTCTGCTTCTGACATCTGCCTCACTTCCTCTGTAAGCACCGGAGGAGCAAATTTATTTTATTTTTAGGGATATATCTCTGTTTTCATTTTTTAGGCCTTTGTGGTCTCCCTAATTGGTCACTTTTTGTTTATATACTAGAAATGTCACAATATTTACCTTT